AAAGAAAAAGAAAAAGCAACTCAAAAGACTCCTTGCAATCAAAGGAGAATAATAATCTTGGCATTCAATCAAAATGAGTGCTGTGTAGAATGAAGTACGGTTCTGCCCTTCATCTCAGCTAGCCACCACTTACAGCTAGGTGATTCTGGACACATGAGGGACATATGGGTATGTGAGTAGCAGGGGACTCTTACAATTTCTGCCATAATATCTTTCATTTTTACTATGTGTGCACATGCACGTGTGTGGTGCTATGTGGTACTAGGGATCAATTTCCGGGCATCACAGATACTAGGTAACCACTGTACCACTGAGCTACAACTCTTGTTTTTAACTATACTACTGTGTTCCTAAATCTGAGACAACATGGAAATAAAGAAGGGGTAGCTTACCCCACTCTCTGAGGATGGGACCTTCATTAGACACCTCTGTGAAGTTAACTTTAGATTCAAATGCATTTAGCCTAATCTTCTATGTCTAGTTTTGTCATTTTAACTTTAAAAGTTTTACTGTATTTTACCATAAAAATATAAATATAAAAATATATATAAAGTTATATATATTCTGAAATATATATAAGCATGACTGATACATACATAATGCACTTCTATGGCATTTGGCATATTTTGAGAAACAATATACAGGAGGTAATTTCTACTCAGACTTTAGTGAGATTGAAGGTTTTCTAAGGCTCAATTCAGTGGAACTGGGGTGGGGGTGGTCCAAGAATATGTATTTGAATAGCCATCCAGATAGTGATTACCAAGGTGAATTCATAAACCTAACTCTAGAGATTAGGACAATCTGAGGATTATGATCACTCTCTAACATGCCAAAAGGCTATTTACTCAATATTTTAGATTGAATAAATCTAAAATATTATACCTAATTAATAGATGTATACATATACAGGATATTAAAATACAACCTTCTATGTAAAATCACATTTATAGAGTCACCAATGTAATACCTAATACCACAGCTATCAGGTATTAAAAAATAGACTACTGGCCTTACCTAGATAAGCAGAATTCCAATGTTTTTTTAAGTACTTCCCGGGGGTCTTCCTGGCTTTCTGGCTGAGATTCATTTCCTCCTATGAAAGCAACAATCAACTCAGGAAAAATGGCTTAAAATTTACCAAGCAGTAATTCAGGATAATACTTATGTTTTTAGTACATTAAAATATTAACACACATACATGTTTACAGAAGATGAAAAAAATGCTATTTTGTCTAACTTAAAACAAAAATCATGTTTAAAAAAATCTTCCCTTGCCTAAAAAAAAAAAAAGCAACACAGTTTAAGTTTCATTAACAAAGTTTAGCAAGGAAATTTTTAATCACAAAATAACAGGTATAAACTTTAAGTTAATACCCTGTCTCACTTAAAAAAGGAAAACTACAAGAATATAGATAGTAATCAATAAAGAAGAAAATCAAAACAAGGAAAAAATAAATACAGACAAAACACGAAGGCCAGTTGTAAACATACGGACAATAAAGGGTGAGTTAATTTTTACATTAGGCCCTTAGATTTGTTTTTAAGTTTCCAGCTAGTCAAAGTGACAAATGAGAAACTGTTTGGTTACCAAGTACTCAGATAATACTAAATAAATCAGATCCTTAAAAGACACATAAAGCTTGTTCTAAGCTGTAAAAGAAGTTGCTTGTGAGAAGATATTAGGTGGTATGGCAGGTGATTTACTAGCAGGGGGTCATGAACAGTACTGGTCATGGACTGAAATCTCAGGGAGTGAAATCAAGTGCAGGTTAGGACTCCCCCATCATCCTCAGAAAATCTGAATTGTATTAATAACACAGAAAGCACTGAAATCTTAAGAACTATGTTTTCGGGGTTTTTTTATAATTATTATATAAATTAGCCTGACATGGTCATATATATGCTAAGCTAATTAGAGACACTTGCACTTTAAAAAAGTGAAAGCCCATGAAAAGGCAGGCAAAGTAGGGGCATTTAGAACAGTGACAAAAAGTTCATGTCGGCATTATATGAAGAACTTTAATAAAATCTGCCCTTATTAGCATAAAAAAACAAAACTGATAGAACAATGAAAAGCAACATAAACCATAGAACTTGAGATTAGATTAAAAACAGAAAACACATTCATTATTCCCTCATCGAGGCTTTTCCTGTTTGTCCCATTTAAACTCACAGTCTACTCCCCACATATAACAAATATTTTCTAAGTATCTCCTGCATGCTTAGGGACACTGTATATTCATATATAAGCCTATGAAGAGGCCAGCATTCCAGTGGGAGAGGCAGAAAACAGGTAAAACACCAGACTACACTGATAAGAACACAAACATTATAGAAAGCCCATGAAACAAACCAAAGTGAAAGACAACTGATTATAAATCCAAAATATAGGACAAACAGAAAAAAGCAAGAATGGGTAAAAAGAGGGAAACACTTCATTGTCCAGATGGTGGATTCTAACAGCATTCTCCCAAAAAAGGAACCAACAAAACAAGAAGAATAAGCCCTACATTATTAGTGCATAAATTTACATTTTCCAATCTATTTACACTTGATGGGGCACGCCAAATGGAGCTAACTAAAAATACTAATGGCCAAAGCCAGAACTTGAGCAACAAAATGTGATAGTACTGGACTATAACACAAAGTACAAAATACATGTTTCTGATTCCACACCTAATAAATTTTCAGCCATTTGTAGTTCACAAATTATAAAGAGGCCATTAAGTTCACAGTTCTCCCAACTCTTACTAAGCCATGTATCAGCTGTACTTCACAAAAATCAAACCACCAGACATAAAAACAAAACAGGAGATGAGACAAATCCCCCATGCACAAGAACTTCCAAGTAATTTATATGGATTCTTCAACCTTATAGAAGGCAACCATAAAATGCCATTCCTTAAGTGTGGCTCTGCAAACTAACTTCCTTCCCAACAGTAAATATGGAGAGGCACAAAAAACAAACAGCAAATTCAGTTGAGAAACCTGACAGACACTATGTTCCGTGGCATGTTCAGGTCAACACCAACAGTACTTGACCAGCACACCCCAAAACAGTCAAAATTATCCAAAACAAGAGACACCCTCTGAGGAGCCTAAGGAGACAAAATAACTAAATAGAAAGAGGTATCTTTGATAGAATGCTAACACAAACAAGATGGGATAAAATGTATCAGTACTGATTCAGTATTTGTGTTAAATATATTAATGTAGGATGCTAATAGGGAAAACTAGCTGTCAAATAAAGTTGCTCCTGGAGGCAGATGTTAAGACATAGAATTCTTTGGCATGTCTCCAGAATGGCTCCTTTTCCCCTTTTCCTACCAGAGCATAGGACTGTTTTCAGATTATCGACTGTAAGGACCTAGTTGCGATCCTAGAAATAAATTCACAAAATTAAGGGACCCCACCCTATCACCAGGCCTCTGTGCAGTTTTTTTTTGTTTTTTTTTTTTTTTTTTTTTGCGGAACCGGGGATTGAACTCAGGCCCTTGCACTTGCCAGAGAAGCGCTTATTCCACTGAGCCATCTCCCTGGC